ACTAGGACTGGAAGGGACCTCGAGAAGTTGAGTCCAGTCCACTGCCCTCATGGCAGGACCTAATGCTGTCTAGAGTAGACCATCTAACCTGTTCTTAAATACCTCCAAAGATGGAGATTACACAACTTCCCTAGGCAACTTATTCCAGTGTTTAACCACCCTGACAGCTAGGAAGTTTTTCCTAATGTCCAACCTAAACCGTCTTTGCTGCAGTTTGAGCCCATTGCTTCTTATTCTATCCTCAGAGGCCAAAAAGAACAATTTGTCTCCCTCTTCCTTGTGACACCCTTTTAGATATCTGAAAACTGCTATCATGTCCCCTCTCAGTCTTCTCTTTTGTAAACTAAACAAATCCACTTCTTTCAGTCTTCCTTCATAGGTCATGTTCTCTAGACCTTTAATCATTCTTCTTGCTCTTCTCTGGATCTTCTCCAATTTCTCCACATCTTTGTTGAAATGTGGTGCCCGGAACTGGACACAGTACTACATCTGAGGTCTAATCAGTGCAGAGTAGAGTGGAAGAATGACTTCTCGTGTTTTGCTTACAACACACCTGTTAATGCATCTGTCAGGGGGTACGCCCCTACCAGGGGTTTTGGCCCCCTCCTGCCCGGCCTACCCAGTACCCAAAGTACCGACGTACCAGTCTCGGCCCTCCTATCAGGGCATATACGGTATCCCAAACTCTCAAATGTCTCGGCCCTTCTATCAGGGCATATATGGTAGTCCGGCCTAGTTCTGGGGAAAAGCCTCTTCAGGCCTGAGTGACTCCCCAGGCGCTGCGAAGGGTTGTAGGGGGACCCAGGCCCTCTCTCTCCACCGGGTCCCGGGCCAGGGCCCTGTGGGCAGGGACTCTAGGTCCTGCCGGCTTGGTGGGGAATCCAGCCGCTACTCACCAAGCTGGTTTAGGAAACCTCTGCCCTGGGCTACTTCCTACCACCCTAGCACCCCCTTCTCGTAGCCTGTCTGCCTGTGCGGCGGTCCTTACCGGGGCTGGAGTTGGCAGGGTAGGGGCACCTGTTACTCTGCAGGATTGTGGCCGCCAGAATGCTGTGTTTGCAGACTGGCTCTTTCTGACCTCTGGCTGCTCTCCCCTCTGCTGGGCCACTGCCTGCTTTATATACTGGCCCAGCTGGGAGCATGCCCAGCAGGGCCGCAAGGGCGGGGCCCTGTCAGCCAGCTGGGCCTGGGCTACTCTCTGCCATTTTGTGTGTGGCTTGTTCGCCCCATCACAGCATCCTAGAATCATGTTTGCTTTTTTTGCAACAGTGTCACACTGTTGACTCATATTTAGCTTGCTGTCCACTATAACCCCTAAATCCCTTTCTGCCGTACTCCTTCCTAGACAGTCGCTTCCCATTCTGTACTCATAGCACATCATCTTGTTAGCCTTTATGCCTCTAGCTAGATTTAGCTCTTTTTGTGCCTTTGCCTTTCTAGTCTTTCCCCTGCATACCTGTATTGTTTGATTATATTTGTCCTTTGTAATTTGATCTAGTTTCCACTTTTTATATGACTCCTTTTTTATTTTTAGATCATGTAAGATCTCCCGGTTGAGCCAAGATGGTCTCCTGCCATACTTTTTATCTATCCTACGCAGTGGAATAGTTTGCTTTTGGTCCCTTAATAATGTCCCTTTAAAAAACTGCCAGCTCTCTTCAGTTGTTTTTCCTCCTAGTCTTGCTTCCCATTGGACCTTACCTACCAGCTCTCTGGGTTACTAAAATCTGCCTCCTGAAATTCATTGTCTCTATTTTGCTGTTCTCCCTTTTACTATTCCTTAGTATCATGAACTCTATGATTTCATGGTCACTTTCTCCCAAGCTGCCTTCCACTTTCAAATTGTCAACCAGTTTCTCTCTATTTGTTAAAATCAAATCTGTTCCAGCTTCCCTTCTAGTATCTTTCTCAACCTTCTGAAATAAAAAATTGCCTCCAGTGCAGTCCAATAACTTGTTGGATAATCTGTGCCCTGCTGAGTTAGTTTCCCAACAGATGTCTAGATAGAAGTAGTAGATCCCTAGCGTGACATCACCCTTATTTTTTTATCCCTTTTAACCTAAGCCAGACACTCTCAAGTTTGTCTCCTATGTCCCTCTCCTTCTTAGTCCAAGTGTATACATTTTTAATATATGTATTAAATATATTAAGTCCAATCAAGAACCCAACCCACGTGGGTTCCCTTTTTTCTTTGCCTATCCTTCATGAGCAAGCTGTTCCCTTCTATACCAATATTCCAGTTGTGTGTGTGGTTATTATTATTGTTGTTGTTTTGTTGTTTGTTGATATTATTATATGTTTAAAGTACTTTTGAATAGTGTCTCAGAGTGGTAGTTATGTTAGTTTGTAACTTTAAAAACAATGAGTAGTTCTGTGGCACCTTAAAGCCTAAAAAAAATATATATAGTATTGTGAGCTTTTGCAGTTAAGGTCCATTTTGTCAGATGAGTTGGAGTGGAAATAATAGAATCCAAGATATATATATATATAACAGCAAAAGAAGTACGTGTCAGTTGTAGGACCCATGCTAATGAAGCTAATTGAGTGGACTGGATGTGTCCCATTCATAACTTTTTATGTGAAAATGCAAATGTTAAAGGCAGGGAATATTGGTTTTGTAGTGCATTAACCAGTTAATGTCTTCATTCAAACCAAGGGTGACAGTGTCAAATGTGTAGATGAATTTCAGTTCTGCAGTCTATCTCTGTAACTGAGAGGTGAAATTCCTTTGTAGAAGAATGGCTACTCTTAAATCCATGATTGAATGATCAGATAGGTTAAAACCATGGTCACCAATCCATTGATCGTGTTTGACTGGTCGATCCTGGAGGCTCAACCAGTCGATTGCGAGGCTTTGGAGGCCCTCCCTCACTGAGGTGTTCTTCCTCATAAAATGAGGCTTTCTGCAGTCGAAAAAACTGCCGTGTTCTTTTGATTTACTTTGGAAAGAATGTGGCAGCAGTCTAGATGCAGGGGAAGTTTTTTCGAAAAAAGACTACTTTTTTCAAAAATACCCTGTAATCTAGACATACCCATAGAGTGTATAAGGGCCAGGGATAGCAAGTGATGGAGAGAAGGGGAACAGAGAGGGCAGGGCCTCAACAAAGGGGTGGGATCTTGGGGAAGGGATGGAGTAGATCTTGGCTTGTCCTGACGTTTAAAAAGTGATCTTGGGTGTAAAAAGGTTGGAGACCACTGGGTTACACGTAAACATGTAGGAGAATATTTTGTTATCATTTCTGATGTCTGCTGTTTATCCATTTATCATTTGTCACAGACTATCCAGTTTGGCCAATATAGATGGTAGAGGAGGATTACTGACACTCGATGGCATATGTGTTTTGGTCCTGTGGTGGTTCATGAGTATAGGTGTGTGGACAGAGTTGGCAATGGGGTTTGTTGCAGGGGTAGGTTCCTGGAGGATTGTATCTGAGGTGTGATACGTGGCTGCTGGAAAAGATGTGCTTTGGGTTGGGGGTTGTCTGTGGGTAAGGATTGGCCTGTCTTTCAAGGCCTGTGAGAAGTAGGGGTCATTTTCCAGGATAGGCTGTAGATTTTTAATGGTGCATTGGAGGGGTGTAAGCTGGGGCTGTAGGTGATGACCAGTGGCATTCTATTATTTTCCTTGCTAGGCCTGTCTTGAAGTAGGTGACTTCTGGGTACTTGTTTAGCACTGTCAATCAGTTTTCTCACTTCACCACATGGGAGTTTAAACTTTATAAATGCCTGATAACGATTTTTTAGGTGTTTGTCTTTGTCTGTGGGTTTGGTACAAATCTGGTTGTATTTTATGGCTGTAGACAGTGGGTGGTGTGATGTCTCCTGGATGGAATCTAAAGGCATATAGGTAAGAATAGAAGTAGAACTTGCAAGATCTGTGTAGTGACAAAACTCAGCTCCTGTTCCCAGTATGCTTTGGTTGCAGGGACCACATAGTGCCTATATCATTTGTCGATCATTTGCCATTTGGTTCTGGTTGCTAGGTGAAGTTGAACTATCTCCCTTCCCCCTGCTGACTCATTCAGATGATTCAACATTTTCCTCCAAAATATTATACAATACATTTGCAGGAAGGGTTGTATATTACTGTGATATGGTCAAATGATACCCACCTGTAATGAAACTATGAAGAGGGGGAAAAAGGCTTGGAGAAACTCAACAAGATGAACTTTTTCTCTTTTTAATTTTTTGTAATGAAGACAGATGGGGTTCTAATCTCATGGGAGTTCCCCTTAATCTTGCAGAATCTGGGTCACTATGGGGAAAGAAAATTGTAGCTGCATGGGTCCATATGGATCTCCTCACATTTCTGCCTTTCCTTCTCTTTGCCTCTCTGCCTGCATGGCATTGGTTACTTTCCCTCTGCTGTTTCCTTGATAGTGCACCAACAACTCTACCTTGCAAACTGCTGGCATCTAGCCTTAATTCAGTGATTTTATCCTACAGGGGATTCAGCACTCTGGTGATGATCCACTAAAGCACAAAGCTACTTTTAAGCATGTGCTTACAACCTCCATTGAATCAGGACCAGAGTGCCTCTGTTTTCATTAATTTATGGTTTCATATTCTTATAGAGAAAAAAATCCTTTGAGTTTGAAATTTTCCATGCTTGATGCAGCTGAAAGACTATCTGTATGTGCACGTGCTCACATACACCTTTTTTTCACTGTTTAAAAATTATTACATTTTTTCATACAGATAGGTATAAACAGAAACATCTGACTTTCAAAATTTAAGTTTCCAAAAACAGCACTAACTTTACCACATTGTCTATCCTTTATATTTGATAAGCATTGAGCATAGAAAGTGTATTAAACTACATGTTTAACAGTTAAAAGAAAAAGAATAACTCCGTAGTTGCAAACTTTATTTTTCATTTCCTGACCTAATTGTGCAATCTTACATTTGCATTAATATTTTATTGCATGTAATATGTGGATATGTATAATGTATATGTGTTCATAGTATATACTTATCTATATCTATTCTCTTGAATGTAGGTACGTATCTTGTGCATTGGGATGCCCATATGCAGGAAACATCATACCAGCTAAAGTGGCAGAAGTAAGAATGCACCTGTCTTCCATGTTTTAAACTTGCCTGAGCTATTTTCTCTGTTTAATCCTAGAAAGGTTCATTATGAATCAAGATCCATGTAAAATGAACAAAACAGCCATACAAACTCTAAATCTGGATAAATAATTTTCCTCAGCACTATCCGTTCAGTTGTAAAGAAATGTGTTTTGGTAATAACTAGTGACAAAATCAAAAATTAGGTTTAAAATGTTATTTCCTTCAAGCAGAAGAGCAAGGAAATACTTTGGAAAATCAACTCAAACACATATGAGAACAGGCCATGTTGCATGAGATTATTTCCATCATGATCCCGTGTAATTTGTAGCTGCTGTTACATTCACTCTGTGCCAGCAACAATTTGCCTTCAGCCATAAAACATGCCATTGAATTGTGGTCCTCTGGACATACAGAAGTGCTGGCATCTGCAGCAGCTGCACAAGCTAAGAGAATGGACCTGGACCAACTCACAAGATACTTTCCTACTACAAAGCTATTGGGGGAAACGTGCATCCACTTCTCTGTGGGGAAGAGGAGATTGATGAACATGGTTGAAAGAGACCACCTTCCTCTACAGAGAAAGAGACAAAGGGCTAAATGGACAGGAAATTAAGGCCTGATTTACACTGCAGTTAGGTTGATGCAAACTGCCTTGTGTTGACTTAGCTATGGAAGTGTCTTCACTGAAGTGTCTTCCCTCACCAAATGCTGTTAAGCAAAATAAACTGTCATGGGATAAGAGGGAAAGTCTTCTCATGGATTTATTTTATTTTAGTTAAAAGCAGATAATTAAAAGGAATGCCTAGAGAAAAAAAATGCAATCTACTATTATAAACTCATCTTAAAAATTTTAAAAATCACAAATTGAAGTTTATGAGAAGAAATTCTTACAGCATAACAGTACCTTTCTTGTAGATCTATTCAGGCACCTATAGTGTGTTTGATGTATGGATGTGCAGTGAGACATGGGACTTCCATACTGAAAGATGCTTACAATCTAATGAATGGCCTGTTTTATTTTTAATTTAATTTTATTTAAAATGTGTGATAAATGTATTATGATTTGAACTAGGGACTCTTGGATCTGAAAGCAAGAGGGATTTTATTAACATTTGCCATCGGCATTTTGTTCATATCCTCCTTACCAGCTTTGATGAGAACAGTTGAATCCACTTGAGTCCTTTAAAATCTGCTCTTTGAATTAAGTGAATAATAGCATTTCTCCACTTCTTCCGGGACTGGTGGTACAGCACTTGGTCAGTCTCTTCAAACATATGTATTGCAATCCCACTGATGATATTCTGGAATTACTTTAACAGTCCAAGGCTGTACAAATGAAACTACCTTGGAAAGGAGTGTATTTTTAGTTCTGTAACATTTGATTTATGGACTGGGATTCTGTCGCTCCAGGGTGTCTTTTTGTGTATGTTTGATGCACAGGTGGGAATGCTAAGGAATAAACCTGTTCAGTTATAGAGCATTTCTGAAAAAAAAATCAAAGAACCTATTATGGTAATTGGAAATATCTCTATAAAAAGTATGGACTCAATCCTGCAATCCCTTATTTGCACAAAGTTCTTTACAAGAGTAGTTGTAATGAAGTTTATGGTGCTGCTTACATAAGTAAGAACTATTTATGAGAATGAGGGTTTGTAAGATTGTGACTTAACGATGTCACAATTTTGATTTTTTTCACTATTTTTTAATTGATGTCCAGTTTCTTTAAGAAAAAAATGAGCAAGTTAGGGACTAAACTTCCTTTGGCTTTCATTGTACCTGTGATTTCCTAGAAAAGAAAAATCAGATCTCTAGTCCACTGTTTATTGGCTTAACTGCGCACTCATTGTACTGGGTCCTGTGAAACATGCAAGCCTTAAGGCACGTCTTTACTAAAAAAAAATACACAGGGAAGATAGAGCAGTTGGGAAATCCCCAGGGAAGAGGCCAACAACAGATACGGGTTTCAGAAAGGTTAATCTATAAACAAACAAACAAAAACTTGATTCTTTTGCGTGTAATAGGAGAATAAGAGAGAAGGTTGTGACTCGATTAATTTGATTTGGAACATTATTACATACAGGAGGCAGAACATTATTTTTAGCTTTGCTTATAGTTCATTATTTTAGAATTCTTTTCTGTTTTCTAATCAGGTGTCTAAACAGCTCTATAGCCTGGGCTGCTATGAAATCTCTCTGGGGGACACTATTGGGGTGGGGACCCCTGGCAGCATGAAGAGAATGCTGGAAGCTGTTATGAAGGAAATTCCAGTGAGTGCTCTTGCAGTTCATTGTCATGACACGTATGGCCAGGCTTTAGCCAATATCCTCACAGCCATGCAGGTAATTCAGACTATCTTTACAGATATTGTAAGTAATGACTGTACATTAAGTCAATGCTAAACTTCTATGAAGTGCCAATTGCTTTCTGTATTTTCTATAGTTGTCAGTATTTTTGCACTTGTGAAAGGTACTTCAGAACTCTGATTGTATCATTTCATAAAACATTAGAGAGACAACTTGGTGAGATAATACCTTTTATTTGACCAACTTCTGTTAGTAAGGGAGATAAGCTTTCAAGCCACGGTGAGCTCTTCTTCAGCTCTGGGAAAGAATAACAGATGTTATGCTGAAAAAACGCTGTTGTGTAGATGTACTTCTAGGCTGTGTCTACACTGGCACCTTCTTCGGAATAGCCATGCTTTGGAACTTTGGAATAGGGAAATGCGCGGGGGATTTAAATATCCCCCGCGGGATTTAAATAAACATGGCCGCTGCTTTTTTTCCGGCTTGGGGAAAAGCCGGAAAAGAGCGTCCAGACTGGCGCGATCCTCCAGAATAATGCCCTATTCCGGTATTCCGGAGGATTGCGCCAGTCTGGACGCTCTTTTCCAGCTTTTTCCCAAGCCGGAAAAAAAGCGATGGCCATGTTTATTTAAATCCCGCGGGGGATATTTAAATCCCCAGCGCATTTTCCTAATCCAAAGTTCTAAATTAGCATGGCTATTCCGAAGAAGGGGCCAGTGTAGACGTAGCCCTAATGTCTTAGATGCCACACAAAAAAACAAACAGGGAAAAAAAAACTACACCAAAGCACAGTCATGATATTTGGCTTTACTAGAAAGCAAGAATATAATTTAAATATTAATGAATCCTCAGGTACCACTTTGTTGGAAGCATGTTGTATGTCCTTAGGTTATCAAAGTGATATTGAATTTTCACACCAGCCATGAGAACTTATTTTGAACTGCTTAGATGGCATAAGCTTAAGGTTTGTTGGTTATCTGTTCAACAGAGGTAGTAAATATTTTGGATTATTCTTCCTCTATTATCATGGCTCCTTGTTCTCTTGCAATTACCTATTTATATAAATGGAAATAGTAAAATGAATTAAATCAAACACATTTCTAACATGTTTAGGTTCCTTCAAGTGTGATTTTAGATAGGGAAAAAGACTTCGGTGGGTTTTTTTAATTGTTCCCCTTCTATACTAATAATTTTGGATAATAGATGTATTGACTTTAAGAAACTTTCTGTACTAATCTCCTTTTTTCATTCTACTCTAATTTTTGTAATACATTTTGGGGCAATATTTTCTAGATTTCAATCCAAAAGATAATATTTTATAGCTTCAGAAACTTAACGGCTACGTCTACACTGGCCCCTTTTCCGGAAGGGGCATGTAAATTTCACCAGTCGTCGTAGGGAAATCTGCGGGGGATTTAAATATCCCCCGCGGCATTTAAATAAAAATGTCCGCCGCTTTTTTCCGGCTTTTAAAAAAGCCGGAAAAGAGCGTCTAGACTGGCCCCGATCCTCCGGAAAAAACGCACTTTTCCGGAGGCTCTTATTCCTACTTCAAAAAAGCCGGAAAAAAGCGGCGGACATTTTTAGCCAACTTGTTTATGTGATATGTGCCTCTAAAATGTTTTTTGTTATGCGTATCTTTTATTTTAGCTGTCTTTTAATTAAGCTTGGCTTGTCTTAATGATATTCAAAGCTCATCAACACCTGCTTTTCCAGTTGAAAACATAGCTATATCTACTGGTTTAAATAAATGGATCATTTCACAGTAAACATGGGAGTTCTTCATAAAAATTCAGAGTATTTTTATTCAAACTCCATGTTAAAATTCATTACTCTGTGGATGCCTGCAGAACAATGTCAAGGCAGTTGAAAAATTAAAATGGCAACAATGTACAAAATTTGTTTCACTGTTACCTGGTCCTCTTTACTCCTCTTTGTTTTCTCTTTTGGTTGCCTTTTGTTATATGGTAAGTTAGTAATTTCTTTGCAGTAGGGGTTGCTTTTTTATGATGTGTGTACAGTGTCGAGCACTTTGGTCCTGATCTCTAACTGGGATATCTAGGTTCTACCATGAGACAAATAATAAAAAACTAATAATAATGAACAGATTGTCTTGCTGATCTTGAAGTAATCTAAGCTTCTCTGATCTTCATTACTAACTAACTTTGGACCTAATTAGTATTTGGATAACTAGTGATTAAAAACACAAATAATTTCTTCTGAAAGACAATATATGGTACATATATTTTCCTGATAGACAAGGAATAGTGCACTGGAATATTATATGAGTGGCTGCAGTTTAATTCCTATTCTTGTCATTGAATAAAATACATTAAGTTATTTTCTTGTAGTTATACATATATAGATGACTGTACTTTTGCCAGATCTCATTATCTAAGCAAGACAGGAACTAATCATTCTTCTTCGAGGAGTGTCCCTGTGGGTGCTCCATCTTAGGTGTCTTGAGTGCCACTGCTCTTCTAATCAGAGATTTTAGGTAGCAGTGCCCATGGTTGGCTGCTCATGCAGAGCCGCTGGTGTGCATCTTTTGAAATGGATACTCTGAATGCACAGTCAGCTGTCCCTTCAGTTCCTTCTCTACCATTGTCAGCTTCTGTTGGAACCCAGCAGTCACCCTCGAGTGTTAGTGTTAGTGTAACAGTTCATAGTTAGTAGTGTAGTTGTTAAAAAAATTCATAGGACAACTTAAGTAGTTAGTTCTAGTTCTAGGATTTTAAGGTTCCCGCATTCCAGTAACCTTTTTTTTTCCTGGAACATGTCTGGTTGACCTGGCTTTAAAAGGTGTATAACATGCAGGCTGTCTATTCCTGTCTCAGACTAGCTGCTGCTTGAGTGAGGAGCACCCTACCTCCTCGTGTCCCCACTGCAAGAAACTCATGTCAAGGACCAAGAAAGCCAGGGAGCTACAGCTAGAAATGATGCTCCTTGAGAAAACAATCCAACCCACTTTTGACCCAGAGCACATTACACCACCCAGGCAACCATCTCTTGGTGCGGCCTTCAAGAGAGCGGCTCCTGCAAGGTCAAGCCCCAAGGACTCTGACAGGGCTCGGGTGCCCAAGAAGAGATCCCACTCCTGTTCAGGGGCTGACTCACCCTTGAGGAAACACTGTTTGCATAAGAAAGCTGCCCTGGCACTGGCTACACTGAAGGCACTGGAAAAGAAAACAGTTGGCAAATCCAGCATTGACAAGGGCTGAAATTCTAAGCAGAAGGCTTCATCCTCCTCCAAGGCACAAACAGAGGTGAAGCAAAAACCATTGATGTTGGCACCAGCCAAGATACTGCTGTCTCCGACCATGACACTGACTAGACCACGTTAAGCAATGGCACCAAGTGTTACCATGTCACTGCCAATGACACGTTGGCACCACAAAACATCTGGCGTCTTCAGCGCACATGAAACAAATGATAGCATCAGTCCATGCTAAGCACCCGGCACCGGCAGTTCAGCCTATGTTGCTGCCTCTAGAACTGGCATTATTGCCTGCTACATCAATAGTACGAACATTCATACCAGCGCTCATGGTCTTCTCGGTGATGGGGATGCCACTGTTTGGCACCAACGGCACCTCAAATATGTCCCATTTTGGTTTGTCATCTACCCCAATGGAATTGGCTCTGCCACTGTTCAGCGATGACGATGATGATGAGCCTTTGGAGGTACATACTCAAGACATTCTTCTCCCAAGCAAGCAACCATGGTAGCTCAGCTCTGTGATGTGGCCCACTGTCCAGGTTCTCTGTGGTTTGTAATTCCCTGTGCCTTCTCTCCTCACTTGCATCAGTTCTGTGGCTTTTCAGGCCAAATGTGCTCATAGGGGAGTGAAGATCAGGATGTGAGCCTGTGGAAAATATTGGTATCTTTGTGAAGAATGGTGTGGATGTAATATTATGCAAATAGCTGGTCAATTGAAATTTAATTATAAAAAAATGAGCAGCGAACTCCACTCCTCCTGAGCCACTGCAGACTAAAATCCCAGTATTAGAACTGTTGTATTTCCTGAAAACTAATAAGTGACAGTAGGAAAGCAGCATATCTTCAGTGCTTGGATGTAAACTCTCCTGGGATACCTCAAGAAGAGGACAAGAAGTTGTGTTGGTCATTCCATAAGCTGGTTTTTGTACAGGTCATATTGGGTGTGTCTAGACTACAGGGTTTTGTCGACAAAAGTCTACTTTTGTCGACAAAACTATACCTGCGTCTACACTATTGCCAACATAATGTCGAGAGAAATTGGCAGTTTTGTTGATGGCGGTAAACCTCATTCTACGAGGAAGAATGCCTTTTGTTGACAGAGTTCTGTTGATAGAAGGTGTTATTGCATCTACACTATCATGTCGACAAAGCGGCTTTGCTTTGTCGACCGAACTGGATGTAGTCTAGACGCTCTTTGTTGACAGAATCTTGGTCGATAGTATCTCTGTCTACAAAAACCTGTAGTCTAGACATAGCCATTGTGTCATTCAAGTTTATACTACTACAGGACATTTTCTTTTGGTTTGGATTGATCCAAAACACTCTAGAACTGACAGGATGAAGCTGCATAAAAAATTATAGAGGAATTAATCTTGTTATTGAAGTAGTGGATTTTATGTGTATTGTTTAACAAAAGAATCAATAGTGATGACAGAGATTAGCCATGTAAGTATTTTTAAGTTGTTGAGGGAACTAATAAAGATGAAAACCATTGACTAGATAGATTTTTTTCTTGTACAAATGTAAAGAATATCTGACACGATATTTCAAAAGAATAAATAAAAGATTTTAACTAGACTGTTGACTGACTTGCTGAAGCTTGGCTGAAGAAGGAAACTAAGATATCAGAATACAGAGTGTATAGAAGTGACAAACAGGACTGTGTGAGGTGTGGCTACTTGTTACACAAACACAATACTTTTTAATAAAATTACATATGTAGACTGGATAATGTGCCAAAGAGAGAATGTAACTGAAAGAAACAACAGAACATAGGAAATTGCTATCCTCTTCTAAGGAAAAATAAAAATATCAG